ATGTAAGTTTGGATAGCTTTCATACCATTGTTTTAACTTCAAACTGTGGAAAGTTTTTTATATGTAAATCTAATCTTAGTACATGTATCCATGTGACAGAAAGGATGGATGGACAAGTGTGTCCAAATACACCCGGGAAAAATGAAGGCACGTGTTTTTTTTCCATGCAGAAGCTTATCTTCCAAAAAAGAGGAAAAAAATCCCAGTAAAGATGAGCCAAGTGAATGCAATAAATGTACTAATGTTTCACTTCTGGCATTTTGACTCAGTAAAACAGGAGGGCAATAAAATAGATCCTCTGATCCCTGCACTGTGCTGTGTCCAGCTGTGAGTGCAGCAGCTGCACAGAGCTGGGGAATGAGCTCTGGCCCAAGTCAGCCTGTGTTAGCCTCAAATCCACGTTACAGTCTTGGAACAGAAATAAATAGCTATGTCTCCCTTCTTGCTGATCACTGCTACAGGTGCTTTTGGCAGGAGATGGCAAAACTGCCTGTTTCTGAGGGGCTCAGCTGGGGTACAAAGGGTGAAATCCTGGTGGGATTGGAAGGGGAGTGGACTCATCATGATGTGGCTCATGCACCAAGGCAGGGCTGGGTGTGAGCCTCTGTTCCCAGCTGCCTCTCAGTGCCCCCAGCACTGGTGTTTGTGGTGTTCACTCTCCAAAAATATCCTTTCAGCAACAGTCAGCTAGTCCTAATAATGTTTTAGGGTAGATTTTGGAACTCTGTCATGCTTTGAAGCAGTGTCCAAATAACCCTTAGGAGAGTTAGTGCCTCTCATTAAAATACACCCAACTGTATCCACCACGTCCCTGGGCAACTTGTGCCAATGTCTCACCACTCTTAGAGTAAAAAAAAATTTTCTAATATCTAACCTAAACTTCCCCTCCTTCAGTTTGAACCCACTGCCCCTTGTCCTGTCCCTGCAGTTCCTAGCACAGAGTCCCTCTCTGGCTCCTTGTAGGCCCTTCAGATATTGAAAAGTTGCTCTGAGGTCTCCACACAACCTTCTCTTCTCCAGGCTGAACAGCCCCAACTCCCTCAGCCTGTCCTCACAGGGAGATGCTCATTCCTCTTAGCAACTTTGTGGCCTCCTCTGGACTTGCTCCATGTCTATTGTGAGCTTAACCTTTATTTCTTTTTCATATTAAAAAAAAAAAAGCTTCAGCCTTTGACGTTTTCAATGTCCAAAGTGGCAATAGGTTTTAATTTTTCAGTGTCTTTCATTATAGTGTTTCAAACATTAAAGCCCAACTGGTTGTTCAGTGTTTTCAGGGTACATTTGGCTGCACTGTTGTATCCAGTGGCTGTCAATGAATTTATGTGACAAAATCTGAGGCTGCAACTGTGAGATGAACTGCAAGTCAGGAAGTCAGGAATGTCCTACTGAGCAGTCCTATTTTTGCCAGAAGCATTTTCATGTCTAGTAAAGGGGATGAAGTGGAAAGCATTGTGATGGAGAAAGCTTCCTGCTGCAGCTTCTGGTAGCTGTCTGCCTTAGCTGCTTATGCAGCTGTTTCTCTTTGGAGCCTTTCCAGGGGAACAGTCACTGCTGATCCAGAAATTGTGTTGTTTCATTACATTTCGTGCCTGTCTCGTGTTGCATCACATTTAGCTCCATCACTAATAAATACTTGTCCATGTACAGAGTAACCCTGTGGAATCAATCACATTAGTCCATGGTGCATCCCTGTTGCTTTGGGGGCTGCACAAAGGATAGTGTGGAGTGCTGGGCCTGGTGGCTAAGGAAATGAGCACATGATGCCCAGAGCAAGTGATGGAAGAGGGTTTGCCATGGGAAGGCTTGGGGGCACATGGGGAAAGCCACCCCTTGGCATTTCTAGCAGCATGGTCCATTCCTGTCGGTTTTGATTTCCAAGGGTGGTTTTGGTGAACATTACATATAAGCTAAAGGCACTTAAATAACTTGGGCAGATGTTTTCCACTGTTCTTTCATAGTACATGTGCATTACTAGGTCATTCTGGAGTGTTATCTCAGTGTTGAGTTTGTTGGGGTTTTTTGTGAGATACAGTGCTAGTATTCTTGCCCTTTCCCTCTTTCCTTCCAAACCCCCTGTTGTTTCTGCAAGCTTAATGTGTGAAAACCAGTGGATGCATTCTGCAAATTCTCAGCTGTGAAACTGTGTATGGTTTTTCCAGAATGGGATACTGGTGCCTGGATTCACCAGCTGCCAGTTTAGTAGTGAGGAATAGGAGGGGTTGCAAGAGGCCCCTGCTTTGCATCCCCCTCTCCCTTTCTTCCTCTCCTATTTTGTGTCATATATTTGTATGTTACATTGAGATGATCTGGGGGATCATCTCGAAAACCTGCACCTGGCACAGAGGTCATTGGAGACATTACTTGTGCTGCCATTTAGCTCAGCACTAAGTGCTGTTAGCTGGTGTAGGAATGTTTCCTGGAGATTTTCAAGGCATTGCCACTCCTAAACATACTAATAGAAAGTTGCATGTCTTACAGTCAGACCAACCTTTGGCTAGGATGAAGCTTAGGAGACTTACCAAATGCTGTGTTTGTTTATATTATTACAAGTAATGTAGATTTCAAGGAGGCATTGGCATTTGTCCAACCCTGTTTTGTTACGTTTCAGGACTGATTGAGTGAGACTTCCTTGTGTGGTCTCAGTTGTCACAATCTGTGTTAAATTGCAATAAATTAATTTCACAAGCAGGCCCTGATGAGCCAGGAGACTGGGGTAACAGGGTGAAAATAGGATGCCATTCAGGGTTTATCTGGTACAGGGTTTGTTTTGTGACTTTGCAAGCACAGAGATGGGAGTGGTACAGTCTGTTCTCCTGATGAAGATAGGAAACGCAGGAAGAATTCCCTTTGCAAGGGTTTTGTGCTGGTTTTGACCCCAGAAGTTTCAAAAAGAGGACAGACTGCCAAGAGTAAGCTCTACACCAGCAGGAAGCTTCCCTAATAAATGAAAGAACAAATAGCTCTGAGACACAGATGAATGTGTTCTGGAAGGTAACCATGGATGGTGGCAAATATACAACCATTTTTCGTGGTGTCTCTAGGCAGTTATGAAGACACTTTGTGGGAGGAGGGGAGAGGGCAGAATCCTCCTTAAAATTCTAGCATGCTATGTTACAGAGCATCAGGAGGAACTAAGAGTTTTCTGTGTGGGTTTTATTACTTGGCAGGATCTGCTATGACTAAATCTCCAAAGACTGCTTGGGTTTTTTTGGTTTTTTTAAGTTGTATTTCTTTATATATAATACAATTTGTTAGCCAAAACCCAACCCCACCTTATCAGACCATTTATGGGCTTGATTTGTGAATGTTTGTCATTGCTTGCTAGACATGGCTGGAAACCCAGTGGCTGTGAAGGCCTTGTCAGAGCTGAGTTCCCATGTTAATCACACACAGCATGTGCAAAGAAGAGCTGACCCAGATCCACCAGGGATTCTCTTCAGTTGGGCTACATCTGCACTCTCTTTTCTTCTGTTATATAATTACATCTGTTGATTTCCTTTTTCTTTTTCTTTTTTTTTTTTTTTTTTTTAATATCCAGCATGCAGTGAGGAGTGTTCCTCTGAAATTATGAATTGAATCTGTTCTTTCAAGAGGAAGGAAGCCAAGTGGCTAATGTGACAGCCTAAGTTAAACTCCCCTAGTTAACAAAACACTAGCCTAAAGCCAAGCCAAAGCACCTCACAGGAGTTGTTCTTTCAGTGGGACTTTATTTGAACTCTTTATTAAATTTCAAAAATATTTTAGCACTTTTATGATTGGGTTGGACAAAAGTCATGGGCAGAATTCAGCACCAGATACTTCTTGGTTAAGTTGTTAGATCTAAAAGCAAATGGTGAACAAACCAAAGTAAATAAATGACTCTGTTTTATGAAATCGCTGTGTAATGGGAACCAGACTGATATCCCAACAAGCCTCCAGATCCAGCCCATGCTTGCTTTGAAGCTGTGGTCACTGTCTGGCTATGTGTGCAGGACACAGGAGCATGTCTGGCCTGTGAGATAATGGGTTTGGGCTGTGCCAGAGCTCTCTCCTGCACCAGGCCCACCCTGGCTGCCCCTGCCCCAGCCTTGGAGGCACCTGGACTGAGGGAATAGATCTTGGGGTTTGGGGGAAGGAGTGTGGGGGGTAGGAAGATATGGAACAGCAGCATTGTCCAGCTATGAAACTGTTTCTAATCAGCTTTGAGTAATCACTCATGGAAATGGAAGCATTAGATATGTTTAGGTTTTAATTAGTTTGCTTTCTGGAAATCCTCTCCTTGTTAGTCTGTGAAAAATTACAGCTGTCCACTAAAATTCAGGCAAGGATCCTGTTTGGGAAGTGATTCTGCTGAGGATGCCCAAACTTAGATTTGAGCTCCTAAAATGTGATTGTCCTGAGGGTGAAGATGTTGACCTTCCTGGGTGAAATGGAAGGGGCAGGCTGAGTTCCCTGGCCCTGGTGAAGCAGGACAAGTCTGCTGAGCTCCCTTGACATGTTCTGCTTTAGATCAGTAGGTGAACCAAGCTGTTCTCTTCAGGGTACACCCTCACTTGGAAGAGAGTAACTCACACTGTAAGGCTTATCATAGATTTGTTTGACAAGTCGAGCAAGTGTACACCAATTTCCTCTTTAAAACAAAACGAAACTTCCACTAAGACCACTTCCTTCCTTCCCTTCCCTTGCACATGGCTGTTATCCTGTTTGCTGTGAGTGCTTCAGAAACGCTAAATGGTTAGAAATGTGTGAGCAGATGCTCAAAACTGTTCAGCTTTTTGCTGTTTCTCCTGTTATGTCTTTTTATCAGATGTTTTTGTGTCTCCATGAAGCACAGTTTATCCTCACGTGTAAATTGACTGAGCAGCACAAGCAAAATTTTCATAATGGTTTAAATAAATGACTCGAATACACTCTCAGTAGTGCAACTCCAGTTGGATGTCAAGTTGGAGTGATAGAGTGAGTTAGAAACCGTGTGGAAGTGATACAAAACACTGTGTAAAACTCCTCCTTCTCTCTGCCAGTGTTTAATTATCGGGGGTGGCCCATGTGGCTTGAGAACTGCCATAGAACTTGCCTTCCTGGGAGCCAAAGTCGTCGTGGTGGAGAAGCGAGACACGTTTTCCAGAAACAATGTGTTGCATCTCTGGCCATTTACCATCCATGACCTCCGGGGACTGGGAGCAAAGAAATTTTATGGAAAATTCTGTGCAGGATCTATTGATCATATCAGTAAGTACCTGAGGGCATTGGCACTGTTCAGATAAGAGGTTGCCCAAGTCAGAAGATGAATGGAGACTTTCTTGGTTTGGCAGAAAGTTCGTCCGCCTTAAACATGTGTGAGTGCCTGTGTACTTTTTTTAGGAAAAATGTGTACTGTTTTAGGGAAAAATGGCAATTGGACAAATTAGTCTTATGGAGCAGCTTGTTAAACAAGAGGTTTTTATTGTAAAGTATGAAGAATATTGATATTCATTCCAGTATGTTGAAGACAGACACAACCCCAGTCTAATGAGAAAAGAGGCAGAAGTGGACAATTTTACAGGGAAATATGCTGTAAAAATTTCTGCCCTAAAATGCTAAGCTACTGGTTAGCAGATCCTTTAAATATCATTAAGAAGGAAAGCTCTGGAAAAGTATTCTAAGACACTCAGATATTTGAGTTTTGCCCATCAGATTGTGCTGCAAAAGGGGAGGGGAGAGAACATCATCGTGTGCTGGTTGCCACCTTTGCATTCATCCCAGTATGGGGAATACTGATGCTTGTGTTAGCACTGAGCAGCAGTTTGGTCACAGTTGGTTGCTTAATCCATTCACCTTCTCTACTCAATGTCTACAGGTATTCGACAACTTCAACTTATCCTCTTCAAAGTTGCACTTATACTGGGAGTTGAAATCCACGTGAATCTAGAATTCGTGAAAGTCCTGGAGCCTCCTGAAGATCAAGAAAACCAAAGTACTGTTCATCACATTGTAGTTCTGTCCACAGTAAATTCTTTTCTGTCAGGTGTTTTGTGAAGTCATTTAAGGTAGTTGAATTCTGTTTAAAGAAATGGGGATTTTTGCCCTCCTGAGTCAGCTGGCTCTGCCCAGCTGTGGGAATGAGAAGTGTCCCTGTCAGAGCACTGACAGCTCCTGCAGTACAAGGCAGGCTGAGCTGAGCAGCTGAGGCTCTGCACTGAGCCTTGGCATGTGTTCGAGGCCTCGCGGGGAGTCTGGTGTGGCTTCTTGGTATCTTCTTGCAAAAACAAATTTTGATTGATAATGTAAATATTGAGGATGGATGAAGTGCCCAGGGCCTCACTTTGCTCTTACATTTGATACAGCCCCCACTGGCACACAGAGTCTGATCAGCATTCTTGGGCAAGACTTTTAAACAAAATGGAAAAAGATTTCTCTTTTTTTCTTGCTAGCATTTTGAGGTGTAGTAGCAACAGAATATTTAAACATTTTTCTTTAGCTAAAATACTATGTTACCTCTTTGAAGGGTCATACAGTGACAGTAGAACAAACATATTGTTTTAAATAGTTGAAGTATATATAATTTTAAAACACGGACAATACAAACCTTGTCACGTAATCAGCTTTGTATTCCTGCAAGGATTAAATTCGGTTTTGTCACTATGCTTCCATTGAATGTCTGTTAAGAAGACAGTTCAAACCATTGATGGAATGCTATTTTTCTTCTGTTGATGCTCAGATCTCCCTTGCTGTCACTGTGTGTGCACAGCCCTGCCCAGGTAGCTGTGGGGCTCCTTCTGGGAGAATGAAGAGCTTAGCACATTCTTGTGGCAGGACCTGAGAGGACATTCAGTGCACTAAGTGATCCAGATGAAGGTTTCCTTCTTTCTGTTGTCAGCTTGGCACCTTCTAACCCAGCCTGAACAGAGCTGTGACTGCAGCAAACTTCCCTCCCACAGACCCAGGCAGGACTCAGCTCTGTGTGGATGAGAAATAGGCTGTTCATCTTAGTGCCCTTTCTTCAGACTCTCAAATCACTTCTCCTTTGTATTCCTGGAGAGTGAATAAATATTCTTTGCATTTCCAGAGACAGGCTGGAGGGCTGAATTTCTCCCCATGGATCACCCTTTGTCAGAGTATGAGTTTGACGTCATTATCGGTGCGGATGGCCGCAGGAACACGTTGGAAGGTAGGGAATGTTTCCCTTTAGCTTTTTAGTCTTTACTATATCTTGGAAGACCTGAAAGGAGGAGAGGAGAGGGGCTCAATGCTTCATGGACTTGAAACACTGCTGAGAATTCAGACCACCTGAGCTGCCTCAGCGAGACACTAGGTAAGTCCAACTAGGGTTGGACTCGATGATCTTTGAGGTCTTTTCCAGCCTGGTTGATTCTATGATTCTAAGCTGCTCCTGTGTCTTATGAATAAACCTGTCACTAATTATGTATTTCCCCTTTAGCTTTAATTATATCCACACTGGTTTCCAATCACTAGTACACTGTTTCCTTTTTTCATTAGATTCATAGTTTGTCTGCTTATTCTTATATTTGCCAACCACAACACACTTCTTTAGGGAGGCTTCATCTGGAATGCAGTACAGCTCCAGTTTTGCAGATAAAAATGGGAATAAAAGACTCTTTGCAGTCAAGGAAATTTTGGAGGAATTATGGAATCTACAGATGGTGTGTTATATCAGGAAGTGTATGACTAGATGTGGGAAAGACACTGAGCTGCCTTGAGCTGAGCCTTCCTCAAAGTCCAGGGTGAAGTTCCCAGTGGTGTTAATTCTTTGCTTTGCCCACCAGGTTTCAGGAGGAAGGAGTTCCGTGGAAAGTTGGCTATAGCCATCACTGCCAATTTTATAAACAGAAATACAACTGCAGAGGCCAAGGTAGAAGAAATTAGTGGTGTTGCTTTCATCTTCAATCAGAAATTCTTCCAGGACCTAAAAGAGGAAACAGGTGGGTGCATCCTCATTTCTCTGTTACCAAAACCAGGAGGCAGTAGAGGAACCGTGTGCCAGGCCACCCTCCTGCTCCTGGTAACATCAATAGAAACATGCAAAAATTCCAAGTGATAAAATGTTGTTGATGTCGAAATCTTGCAGATAGAGGTGCCCATTTATGGTACAGTGGGATTTTTTTTTAAACTGGGGCGTTGCCACATCGTAGCTTATTTGAATGTTTAAATTTTTCTCAGCTGTAAAAATGTCTGCTATGTTGAACACATTTGGAAGAGCATTTCAGGGCCCAGAGATTTCCCTGAAGACATGGTTTGTTTTGTTTCTATCTGTTCACATACTGAACAGCTTAAACACTTTGAAAAAGGCTCTGCCCTTCTGGGAGGAGTTTATTCTTGCTTTTTGATGTGTAGAGCTGATAAACTGGGAACTAGAATCTGCCAGAAATACTAGAAATATAAACTGTGAAATACCTCTTAATGAACAGGGGTATCAGAATAGTTGCATCACTGTCAGTACAAGCAATTCTATCCTTGATTTACGGCTGAATTTTTAAAAAGTATTACTATTATAATTGAAACCAAAACTCCTGATTAGACCCAGTGCCAGAGCTCTGGACACCTAAATATCACCTTGTTCTCTTGGCACTTTGGAGTCTGTTAGTGCTGGAGGTAACTCAAAGAGTGCCAAATAGTTTTACATTGTGCTGAGACAAACTCCTGTGGGGTGAGGCCAATCCCCTCTCTCGTTTTCTTTTACAGCATTTTGTCCACTAATCCTTCATCCCAGCTGGGAAAGTGAATGTATCCCAAGAGGGAAAGGCACCTGTGGGGATCAGTAGCATCCTGCTAGTGAATGACAAATGTGTTATCTCTTTTCAGGGATTGACCTGGAGAATATTGTTTACTATAAAGACAGCACACATTATTTTGTGATGACAGCAAAAAAGCAGAGTCTTCTGGACAAAGGAGTGATTATTAACGTATGTAAAAAATCCCTGTCCTATTTACTTGGCACAGAGTAAGTGTGAACATCTGCATGGATGTTGGTGCTTGTTATAGAGGGTGTTTATAGACTTAATCACATCATTAAAGCTCAGGTCACTTGGATCTTACTCTGAGTCTTTACATTTGTTGTTTTCCTTCAGTCAGCACAAGGTTTCTATAGAGAACTGAAAACAATACTTCCTAAATTTGTCAGGTCTGAAATTTGGCTCACCTTGGCAGTCTGTGGTGTGGTCAGCACACCAGAAAAAAACTCTCACCTCATTTGTTTATACAGCCTTGTCCAGTTTTATCAGGCAAATAAGGAAGCATTAAAACCTACCCCAGGCCAAATTGCAAATTCTTTGAGGTGGGTGAACCATGATAGAAGGAGGCTGTAAACAGAATGGCCTGAGCTTTCAAAGGTACTTGGGATTTTGAGGTTGGTTTTGTTTGTTTGTTTCTGTTTTGTTGGTTTGTTTTTGGTTTTCTTCTGGCAGATGTAGGGGTTTACTTCCTTCTGTTTTTAGACTGCATTATGGTACCACTTAAATTTCTCTTCCTGAAAGCCCAAGAAAGGTCAATTTCTCTTGCAAAGTAAGACAGTGCCAAAACAGTCAAGTGTAATTTCCTGAAGGAAGTACTATGGGGAACAATCAGAAGGTTTCTTGGCTTTCTCCTGAGGCCCCTTGGCTCAGTCCTATGGTTCCCTGCCCTTCTGGAGGGCAGAGCAGCTGGGGCAGGAGAGGGGAAGGGAGTAACCCTTGGGGAGAGCAGGCCCTGGGTCTGTGGGATCCGTGGCTTTAGGTGCAAGCAGTCCCAGGAGACCTGTGGGGAGTTTGGAGAAGTGGAGCAGTGACTGTGACTTCTCAGAGCTGTTTTCCTGACCTACTCAGGCCTGAGTGGAAAAAAACCCCAAACCCCCAGTCTGTCTGAAGCAACTGGGCTAAGAGGGGTTCTGTGGTATCAGCCTTCGATTCGGGGTCAGCGGTGATTAAGCTGTAAATAGAAACTGCCTCATTAACAATCACTGGCTTTAACTAGGATGACCTAGGCTGGAGCCTTCAGCACTCTGGCAAAAAGAAGCAACCAGCCAACAGCAGCTCAACCCAAACAGAACAGCAGAAGAGCTTATATGGTCCAAGTTTGACTGATGTTGTTACTGAGACCTGAAGTCAAACCTTGAGGCTGAGCCCCATGTGTCATGTCATCAGCATTTCTGCTCCCATGTGGTTTCAGATGTGGAGTGCACACATGCAGGAAAGCCTTGCAGTGAGGATGGCAACATCTGCTGATGGTAGAGAAGTGATGTTATGGGAATAACACATCACTGAGGAACTGGGAGGCACTAGAATATTCTCTTGCAGATAAAGCTGCTCGGTCAGTGTTGGCGTGGAGAGCTCCTGTTTGGGGTAGTGTAGTGACTGATGGGTATGTTACAGCTTTTTGGAGGACATGACAAGTCTCCCTTGGCTCTTCATGCTGTGATATGTGGTTCCCACAGAGAGGACATTGGAGTATCTCACCCTGTGTGCTTCTCTCCCTGCAGGACTCCATAGACACCGAGTTGCTCCTCGGTGGGGAAAACGTGAACCAGAGCAATTTGCTGTCCTATGCTAGAGAAGCTGCTGACTTTGCAACCAATTACCAGCTGCCTTCCTTGGATTTTGCAATTAACCACTATGGCCAACCAGATGTAGCAATGTTTGATTTTACTTCCATGTATGCATCCGAAAATGCTGCCCTTGTGAGGGAGAGGCACAGGCATCAGCTCCTCGTGGCACTTGTTGGAGATAGTTTGCTGGAGGTATATATTGAATGTTTTCCAAGTAGTCTTTTTTCCTTTTTTTCCCCTGTATTTCCTTAATCCAGCCAGTCAATCTACCCTCCAAAGCAAAACTTCCTCTCTTCACGTCCTGAAACAGTGGTACCTTCTTTGGAATAGACTTTTTTTTTCCTTTTTCTTTTCTCTCTCTTTGTGCCATAGTTTGTCATAGTGAATGCTTGGCTGGCAGCCTCTGGCTGAGATCCCATTTTGCTTTATGCAAGTTGTATTTCTGTCTGAAAACCATGAGCTCTGTGTCCTTAGCTTGGGTGCACGGCATCATTTTCCTGTCTTCCATCACAGAAAAACTTGACCCAAATTATTATTGCAGCCTCTTTGCCTTAATATGTTCCCTTATTTTCACTTTCTGAAGTGAAAAGTGTATGCTGCAACTTTTTTTTTATTTTCTTTTTCTTTTTTTTTTTTTTAAAAAAACCCCTCATGCTGAGAGCCTGAAACCTTTGCCCAAAGCAAAATGAGAAGGGCATCTTGTCTAATTCTTGAGTCTTTGGTTTTTTTCCCCTCAGCCCTTACCTTTTGAGGTTATGAGATTTGTTTATAAATATAGGAGTTAAGGGGAAAAAGAGAAAGAAGCAATCGATTTCATTGCCTGAGGCTGGGAGGAAAGACACACCTAAGAGCTACAAGCATTGTCTGTGCTGTACTCTAGCACTTTCTGGGCTGTTTTTCTGAGACAGGGTGAAACCCTAGGCTCCAAATTCACCTGGCAAGTTATTTTTGGAATAAGACCTTAAGAAATACAAGGAATTAAAGTGTAACTGCTTCTTTCAGCCCTTCTGGCCCATGGGTACTGGCTGTGCAAGAGGCTTCTTGGCTGCCTTCGACACCGCGTGGATGGTGCGGAGTTGGGCCCAGGGGAAACCTCCACTGGAGATCCTTGCTGAACGGTCAGTGTCTTTTGGGCTTGTCATTTCCAGTGTTTTAGAGAGTCACAGTCTGGGTACAAAGCAGTGGATTTCAGAATGCCCTCAGTGGTGTTGGGCTGAACTCTCCCATTCCTTCAGGTTGAACAACTTGCAGTAGCAGCTGCTCATGGCTCTGTGAGCTTCTGCACACCAACACAGACACCTGGCAATGTGCAGGACACGGGTTTAAATCACTGATTTAGGTCCCTAATCACTAGAATTAAGTGTTATCCTTAAGGAAATAAACCAAAGATACCATGTATCAAAAAACCAAACCCAAACCAAACCCCTCCAACCATCTCAGCACCTGTCTTTTTGTTCTTTCAGAGTTTTGTATGTCATTTTTACAAGTCTGAATAAGTTCTCCAACACCTACAGCTTTCATAGGTGGTCTCTGTGATCTTTAGCTCTGCTGTTTGGCCTAGAAGCCCTGATGCTCTTTAGGCTGCTAAACCTGTGGCCAAGGAGAATTGCTGTAGTGCTGCATCATAAGCTTCTCTGTGTAATGTCTTTTTTTCACCAGAGCCAAAAATCTGTCCAGTGCACCAACAGCCCTGGTGTCACCCTGGTCTGGTGGTGGAATTGCTGACTTTGTGCTGCTGTCAGCTACCCTGCTCTGCTGCAGCTGTTTTGGGGCAGACACATAGTGGAAATAGTCATGTTGTGGTAACGCAAAGAGAACTGCTGCAGCTGTTTTGGGGCAGACACAGTGGAAATAGTCACGTTGTGGTAACGCAAGGAGATGCATTACTGACTACAGAACTTTGGGACACTTTAAGATAGGAGCCTGTGGGATGACTCAAACACTGCATAGTCCCAACTGGAAAATTGAGCAGAGTAACAAAAAAAGCTGTGGTGGTTATAGGAATTGCAGGATGACAGGATTTAGTGCTGTTACGTGGTAAAGAAATTACTGCTTGAGTGGATTTTAAAGCAAAACCAGATGAATTGATGATACAACCTCCTTTTTTTGTTTGTTTCTTCTTCCTCCTGCAGCTGTTTTGGGGCAGACACAGTGGAAATAGTCACGTTGTGGTAACGCAAGGAGATGCATTACTGACTACAGAACTTTGGGACACTTTAAGATAGGAGCCTGTGGGATGACTCAAACACTGCATAGTCCCAACTGGAAAACTGAGCAGAGTAACAAAAAAGTTTTGGTGGTTATAGGAATTGCAGGATGACAGGATTTAGTGCTGTTACGTGGTAAAGAAATTACTGCTTGAGTGGATTTTAAAGCAAAACCAGATGAATTGATGATACAACCTCCTTTTTTTGTTTGTTTCTTCTTCCTCCCTTTTCTTTCTCCCTTCCTGCCTCAGGGAAATATGGGCATAAGTTTTAAGAGCCTGTCTTGTCTTTGTCCTTTTTCTGTCTGGCATCCTGCTGCTGAGTGGGGATGAGAAATAGTGCATAACACTTGTCCAGACAGAATCAAAATAAGGTGCAGATAGCTGCAAAAAACCCCAAACCCAATCTCTTTATATAATAAATATTTATTTTAATATGTAACTCTTGCATCTTTTTTCCTGTATAAGAGAGAGCATTTATCGACTCTTGCCTCAGACGACCCCTGAAAATATTAACAAGAACTTTGACCAGTATACCATTGACCCAGGAACCAGATACCCAAACCTGAACTCGAGTTGTGTTCGACCACACCAGGTCAGTACCTTCCTTGTGAAATCAGTTCTTTTTTTGTCTAGCATAAATTGAGCTGCAAGTAGGAGACTCTTTCATTTAGAACCAGCTGCTGTTAAAGTGAACCTGCAAAGGAAACTCTTTTCTTCTCTCTAAGCAGTTCTAACATTACACTGCTAATTGCTTTTACTTGTAGGTGAGACAATTATATGTTACCAATGAGTTACAACAGTGTCCTCTTGAAAGAGTGAGCTCCATCAGAAGATCAGTGAATCTCTCCAGGCAAGGTATGTGGCACCTCATGTTTGCTGTGCTTTGACATTTGTAGACTTCTGAGCATACAAGAACTGTTGAAATGTTTGCTCTTTGCTGTATCTCAGAGTCAGATATTCGGCCTAACAAACTTCTGACGTGGTGCCAGAAGCAGACAGAAGGATATCGTAATGTTAATGTCACAGACCTGACTAGCTCCTGGAGAAATGGCCTTGCTCTGTGTGCAATCATCCATCGCTTCAGGCCTGACCTCATGTAAGTGACAGCTGTACATCTCCTCCACTCACTGCAGTGCAGTGTAAGACAAACCAGAGCAACACTGATCCTCTACAGTTCCCTTCTCTGGCTGTTGTTTTGCCAGGGAGTGCACACCATAGCCAGATCTGGGGGAATGGAGAGGGTGGGGCTGGTTTTGCTTTGTTTGTTTTTTTTTCTGTATGTCCTTGCATGCCTTTTAAGATGAAATATATATATATATAGACTTTCAAAGAGCTAGGAAGGTTTTGAACCTTATGATTTATCGTGTCTGTGGGAGTTGTGTCTATTTAAAACCGAATTTGCAGTGCTTGGGGAATGTGAAGAGCTGCATTCCCTGGGCCTGGCACACTGGGTTTAGTGAACATTTAAACCCCCAGCCACACTGGCACTGTTGTGTCCCAGGGAAACCTGGGTGAGCTGTGAGTGAACCATCCTGAGTGTTGCAGTGAGGACAGTCATGTAGGGAAGCTTCAGACCTTGGAGGTGGAGCTGGAGGTTTTGCACAACTCTGTGTCCAGAAGAGTACAGTGCCCTTTAGCATCTCTGGCCCTTGGAAAATAACTGCCATGGGGATGGAATGTAAGGCAGCATTCCCCTTTGGCAGGGTTTGTAAGCTCCTGATGCTGCAAGACCCAATGTCAGACCTGTGAGTGCTTTGTGAGGTTCCTCAGTTGGATACAAGAGGCTCAGTGTGTCACAGGTGTCAGGAAATGGCAATTGCTGGCACTGCTGGATGCAGCCAGTGGAGTGACTCTCCTCTCAGTCTCCAGAAGGCAGTGGATGCATCCTTTGCCTTCCTACACAGGCTCAGGAGTCACAGATGAATTATTGCCAGTCTCCCTTTGTTGTGGCCGAGTGAAAGGAGTGAGTGAGCTCTCCTATGGGTGTGATACATTGGAACACATAGGAGTGGCACCCAGGGTGCTTGTTTGTACAGTTTTGCCAGAGGAAGAGCTGAGATTTTTGCAAATAAGATACTATTTTGCCTTGAGGTTTTTTACACAAATTAGAATTATGGATATTTTTGTGACTGTAAGGGGGGGAGAGGGTACAGAAAGCAAAGTAATCTTTGCTGTCTGTGGAGAACATGTCTTGTAAGCACTGCTCTCTAGAAAGTTGACAAATTTATCTTCCTGAGCTAACAGACCTCCTGCTGTTGAATTGGCATTGTGTTGAGATCCTGTTGGCTCTCTGCAGTAAAGGAGCCTGCTGAAGGACGTGGCCAGATGAAAGTCAGGCAGGAGAGGAGCTGCCTGTGGGCAGAGGCAGGGCTGGGCTGGAGGGCTGCCCACAGCCCCTGGCTCCAGGAACGGGCACCGAGTGGGTGAGGGCAGAGCAGAAATCCTTTGGGGATTCAAAAACTCACATTCCTTTAGGAGGAGAAAGAAACTACCCTGCCTGGAGCTTTGTAATTTATTCACATGTTTATTTTAATCATGGATTTTGGAAGCTGTTCAAGAGATCAGAGTCTTAGAATAGGTCCCATAGAAAATGGATTAGGGACTGGATAACAAAGTTCCAGATGTGTGATGTACTTATTGAGTGCACTGCTAAATCCAGTTATGACCTGGACAGCAGGTCCTCGTTCAAACTGTGTGTGTAACACCTTAAAAAAGGAAAGGTAGTGCCTGTGCCTGTGTGCACACACATATAATATTCTTCTTTGGTAGAATCCCAGCCTAAATTTATTCCTCCTGGCTCTGGTGATTTGTAGAGCTAATCAAAACTAAGAAGACAATTGCTAGCAGATCAAATCTGCAGTAGTGCAGCTGAAGCTAGAAAGGAAAATGGTTTCTTAGCACTTCTGAGGAAGAATTGTGTTCTTTCCTAAGTAAGAAGTCCCTTTCTATGGGACTACATTGAAATCCAGTGACAAAGCTTTGAAGTTACATTTCTGGCAAAGGCAATATTTGTAAAAATGGGATTTGTGTGATACTCTTCTCTTTTGGCATTGTGTGGACTCTGTAGCTTTGACCCAGTGAAATGCCCATGCCCTGGTTCCTGGCCTTGTTCTGTGCCTCTCCCCTGGGCCAGGGACACTGTGTGTTCCCAAGGTGAGCCGAGAGCAAAGCTCTGCTGATGTCTCTGTGCTGTCCCTGCAGTGACTTCGATGCTCTGAACGAGGAGGACGTGGTGAAGAACAACCAGCTGGCGTTCGACGTGGCTGAGCAGGAGTTTGGGATCCCCCCTGTGACCACGGGGAAGGAGGTGGGCTCAGCTGGGGAGCCCGACAAGCTCAGCATGGTCATGTACCTGTCCAAGTTCTACGAGCTGTTCCGGGGCACGCCGCTGCAGGCAGTGGGTAAGGCAGGGCCAGGCTGCTCCCAGTCCCTCAGCCTGGGCACTGGGAGAGCACCAGGCTGCCCATGGGCACTGCTGCCCAGCCAGGTCCCCTCCCAGCTGAGCCCCTCTGGTGTGTGGGCATGTCTGCTTCTCTCTGCAATGCTTACCCTGGGCTTGAGACAGCAAACGGGCAAAGTTTGGTTGAAGACCAAAGTTTGGTGGGTCCTTGGTGGTTTGGGAGAATAAGAGCAGCTGGATAACTGTGGCTTGACATCATGAAGTTCATGTGCCAGGTCATTAGATGATTCCCTGCTAAGGATGGCTGCATAGAGCACATTCATGTCTGTGTGTTTGTTGCTTTTGAGAAAAGTCACCCTACATTGTATGTATTTGCTTTTATTTGCCTGTGTTTCTTCCCTGTAAGTGCCACCATCACTTGATTGTAAAACTTTGGCTTAGCCAAAGTAATTGAAAAATGAATGTAAGTAAATATCCTAAGAACTTGATTTTTGAACAGATGCTGGGGAGAAGCAAAATGGAGAAAACAGTGATCTTGGTTCAGCAAAATCATCAAACTTCCTCTTCAATAATTATATCAATTTGACTTTGCCAAGAAAGCGAGTACCAAAGGTAAGTTGTGAAGGAAATCTTGCCCTATAATTTTTCTCTTTTTGGAAAGAAAAAATTAAACTTTCAGGCTTATAAATAAGGGGTATATATGCTATTATTAGAAGGCCTCTAAATTAGTACACAAAGCTAACACACATAGGCACACTCAGTCATTATGATGTTTGTAGAGAAAATGTCAAATGGCTAATAATAGCATTATCCAGGGGTATATATATTATATGTTCAATCCAGGCTGTAAGATAGTACAGTGCTGCTTGCTAAGCTTTCCATAGCATCCAGTTTGGCCTTTTTTTGGCTGGAAGAGGATCCTTATCTGGGCGTGGGTTGTGAGAGACCAGGAAACAGGGCCTGGAGCTGGTGTGGCTGGAGCTTTCTGGCAGCCTGTGCTGAGCTGGGTAATGTTTTCCATTCTCCTGAGTGTCAGCAGGGCTGGAGAGGAACTCAGATTTCCTGTGCTCCAGACTAATAAATGAATGGAGGTGTTTACACAATACAGGGCACAGTCCCTTTGGAGTTTTTCTCAGCAATTAAATTGCTTTGTCTTTCACTTCTTTGTAAATATGTTAATGAGAGTCCTTTATGTCAGATTTTTGAAAGGCAACATCTTGTGTGCTCCACTCACTCAGGCAAACTCTGCTTTCATGTGGTACAGGTTATTATGCAGAACACATTGGGCTTTCTGATGTCCACCCTTGTTGGTAGGCTGATGACTGTAGGTAGAGCAAAGCTGAGTTACTCAGAGCTGCTGCTGGAAAGACAAATGTACCAAAGCACACAAAGTAATCCAAATATTGTCATCTGATTCTTTTGCTGTTTGCCCAGAAGTTGTTTGGGATTACTTCTATTCACTGCATAATGATTTATTGCAAGCAGTGTATATGTAAGAAGGAAGCCCTGCATTCTTTGATCTCTCTCTCTTTATTCCTTTTAGGTTATTTTTAAGCTGTCTGAGCACTTGCTAAGTTCAGCACGGGCAAACGCAAATAAGTGGAATGTAGTTTATTGTTCATAAATTATAACTTTTTGTGCCAATCTTCAAGGCTGAATTTAATAAGAAGCAACACAAATTTCTAAGCATTGACTACTTTTCAGGTTTGGGCAGACTGAATATCAATATTTAATTGTGCAGTAATAGTTCAGTGAAATAATTAAATATGTGCATAGCTTGAACACAAAATAGGCAATTTTGTTGCTTGAGTACTGTAATGTTCAGCCACAGCCAGAGAGATGAACCTCACAAGGGAGACAAACCTGTAAGGCAGACAGTAATTGCTCCAGAAAAGAAATCTGACTGTGCTAAGAAATATGACTGGTTTTACCCAGGCCAGGCCACACCTGCCTGGCTATGGAAGTTACTGTCCTGGGAGGAACTGCTGCAGTAATCCATGGAACTTGTCTTGGCTTTGCCCTTTCAGGTTGAAGGGAAAATGGAAGAAAACGAGACGAACAAAAGACGTCGAAAAGGACTTTTTGGTGTCTTTGAGGAGGTCAGTGGTGTCCACACATACCCAGCTCCTTGGAGCTGAGGAAGCAGCAGGAGTTGGGGGGGTCAGGACTTGCCTTTTGAACATGGCAGGAACAAAAAGCCTCTCCCCTAAAACTTAGAATTTACCGTGGTGTGCACCACAGAAAGCTAAATTTATTTAAATCTTGTGATAGGGACGAGAACATTGACTAAACTGCACTGTTCTGTCAACATTGACTAAACTGCACTAGTTTTGGTTCTGACACAAGAACATTTAAGGTATTGGAGGGTGCTTTTTTTCCTATCTCTGTTATTTAGACAATGTTTTGCTTGAGGAGTTTGCATTGCAGCTTGTTTTCTAGCCCCAAACTGATTAGTTACCTTTGTGACTCTGCTTATCAATAGCAGTACTGATTAATGTTCCCTGTTACTGTACTCTGTGACCAAAGAAAATATTTTATGATGCTTTTTGCTTGCTCAACAGTGTAACTTTTAGTATACTCTAAACTATTTCCTTTCACCCTCTGCTGATAAGGATGTTATCTCTTTTTTCCTCTTCATGAGTGTTGTAGGAAGCCCAAGAAAAACATAGTTTGTTGTTTCCTTGCAGACTTCAGGCTTTTCAAGCCAAGGGACAAATACTGGGAAAGAACAGAGTGATGGCAGAGAAGGAATGAACCAGAACAAAGTTAAATCAATGGCAACTCAGCTGTTGGCAAAGTTTGAAGAGAATGCTCCAAATACAACTTTGCGGAGACAGGTAGGTCATAGATGAACACAAAAGTCACCTCAAATTAAAGCATATTCCCTCCTTGTGAGTATGATGCAGATTTCCAAGGGAAAATAATGGATCTGTTGTGTGTTTGAAGTGGGTTGTCTTTTTCAATACTTTATGCAAATGAAAAGTATTTCTCTCAGTACTTGGTGAACAAATATGACTAATACAGATTGAGTAATGCTTATTAATATAATGTATTGATATCTATTGCACCAAAAAGTGCAGTGGAATTGCAGCATCTGGAAGTCTCCTGTAAGTCAGCCTGTAGAATTTCTGTTTTGTTTGGCAGTCAAACTGGCTGCACATGCTATTGCAGAAGGCCTTTTGTTCCCTACCCTCCTCGAATAAAGGACACTAGATATCCAGTAGAGCTTCTTTGTGGAAAATTTAGGAAGTGTAGGAAGGGAACGTTAATCCTGTGCTGTCAAGTTTGGGATGAGAAGCTCCAAATCACACTTTAGCCAGAAATGGTTTGAATCAGCTGAGTTTGGATGTGTCATCTGAAAGATCAGAAAGTCGAGCAAGGTGTTGAGGTTCTGACAAGGATGGTGCCTGTCTCAATTCTTTGTGCTTATCTCCATTAGTTTATTGAAATAATTAAGTCCCCCAGGAGTGTAGGCTTTAAAGATGTCCCATGTCTCTCTGTCTGTGAACCTGTTGTTTGCACACACTTGGGCACTTGTCCCTGCCCTGAGCTTTCTGTGTGCAGTCCATGGCCAGAGACTTGCTTGGCTGTGTTGAAGGAAGCCTCAATGTGTTACTTTTGATCATAAACTCTATTAACAAGTACTGAATGTGCTCAGTTTTAAGTGTATCTTTGATGGTACAAGGGGCTAATAGAATGGGTGAGTGCCAAAAATCTGCAAGACCTGTTGTTGAGCTCCACAGGAATAGCTTTAAAAGTAGCTTTTATTTCTTTCTGCCTCAAAAGCTCTTTGAATCCTACTTACTGTCTTCTTTTTTTTTTTTTCACTGTCTCTGCAATTTTAAAAATGCTTTACAAGGAGCTAATAGCTAGACCAGCCTTGCTCTCTCCTGACCCTCCTGTCAATCCTCGCTTTGCTAAACCTGCGGATCCAAGTCTTCTCCCACCTCAACCAAAAAGGCAGGTAGGAACTGCTATGGGTGACAACTGCCAAGCACATCATTTCTTACTGCTGGCAGCTCAGTGTTGTAGCATAACTGCAGAATGTACAAAACAATGGGATGTAATCTGCAGAGTGAGCATATATTTAGATGAGAACTGTGAAAACCACACTAAAAGTTTGAGGCTGGTTTACACCTGCTTCACCAGATGAGAAAACTACCTGAAAGTGTGAAAACACCCTAAAAATACAACTGTTGATTTCTCTGTTACCACATCTAGCTCCAATTTGTATACATAAAATTACATAGCTACATTTAACACGCAAGAAAACTACAGCAGCACCTGAAAACTTGTCTGTGCATGTTCTGAATGCTTTGGGCTGTTGTAATGATAAGGCAAAGAGAATATTTCACCCTGAGAAACCCAACAAATATGTCTTAAAAAAAAAAAAAAAAAAAAAAAAAAAGCTTGAGCATTGAAGAGCTGATGTTGATGGCCAGGTTTTTATTTCTTTAAGTAAAACTCGAGATAAGAATTTCTGCTGAAAGTTCCTTTGCAGCATCATATGCATGGGGCAAATGTTTTGGAACCATAGTTTAGATTTTTCTCTTAGTACTCTCAGTGAAAGAAATCTCATCCCAGACAGATGGATGTTTGTTTTACATTAATCTTAAGTTGAAATATACATCTTGTAGTACCAGTGTGCAGTGAAATGAGATCTGCATTACCTGTGGAAATCTGCAGATCCAAAGCTATTTGGTATGAAAATTCAAATTCAGAGACCTGTTCTGAACTCCTCAGAAAATGCCTTAAATCTGAAACACATTAGAACTTAGGCCAGACCAAACCTAGAATGATATCAAGAACTACTGTTGATACTCTTTTCATTTGATTTTAAGCTTAGTTTCAGGGAGGTGTGATGCTAAAACCATTCTGTTTCTAGTTGTGTGCATGGTCGTGCTGTGCTGTCAGAGCATCCTTGAAAGCTGCATATGCTGCATGGCAGTGCAGAAAGCAGATTTATTTTTTTCACTTCAAGTGTTTCCCAGTTTCAGGTGGTAGCTAGGAGTGAACACGAGGTCAGGGAACCCAAACAGCCTTTAAGTGGTTGTGATCATATGGCCAGGAGAGCAAAGGCTGTACAAAAAGCAGATCCCCAGCCCAGTGTGTCAGAACCCTCTGAAAATCTCGCCTCTGCCTGTTCTGCTGCATTTGTACTTTCTGGAGTGCTTGAGCGTCTTCAGCACCTGGAGGAAAAAATGAAACAGGTGACAAGCAATTTCTTTTCCTTTCTGTCTCTTAACTGCCTGTGATAATACGTATACTGTGTTTTTACTGGCTGTGCTCTCTTTTTCTCTGTGTACTTTAGGTTGTGCTAAGATAAGTCTTTCTATAAACTTGCTATATTCTGTTGATGTATGTGGCATTAACTGAAATCTCTCTCTCTTTCCTTGGCTTTCCTTCCCTGGCTGTCACTGCAGAAAAGAGCTCAGACCATAGCGAATAGGGAGTTCCATAAAAAGAACATTAAAGAGAAAGCAGCACATCTTGCCTCAATGTTTGGATACATGGAGTTTCCCAAGGTGAATATTAAGTAGTGCACCTGAAGAAGTGCCAAGTTAGATGATGTGTAAGAACTCATGGAGGGGAAAAATTGCAGTGGTTTTGGTTTTAACCTTCTTTTCATTCTGTGTGGATCTGAAAAGTAATGTGATTCCACTGAAACTGGTAAAAAGAGTTGTTTAAATATTATTGTGTAACTTAATTGGGGTAAACACAGTCGAAATCGTGAAGCTAGTTAGAATACTTGAGCAGGAGAGAAATGTGTTAGAATACAGTGTCTTGTGGCTGAGCAGACAGTGGCAGCTCAGTTTCTCATCAGCTGGTGAGCAGTGTTAGTGCAGTCTGACTTTTCCTATGTCTCATCATGCTCTCACAGCACCTGCCCTCTGTGCACATCTGGATTAAAAAATTGAGTACAGTCAGAGCATTTGCCACGAAGGTGCTGTGCTGATTTCCAGGGCTCCTCACTGTGCAGAGAGAGAAGAGTAGAACTGTAGTTGTTATCTTTCTGGGGTTTTGATGCATGACTGTGAACTTAACCTGTGCTGATGTCACTGTCTCTTGGATAACTCTCCTGTTTCTGCTCTACACAGAATAAACTACCTACTAAAGGCTTATCCCATTCTCAGCCCCCACTTCCCTCTTGCCCTGCACCTCATCATTCAGCTGATGCTGCTTCTTCATCATCTGTCAGTTCAGCTTCCTCTGCTGTTTCTTCTCGACAGGTACCTGATTAACAGATTTTTCCTGTAAAGTCCAAACTTGTGCTAAAGCTGCTTGAGAAATGGCTTGGATTGAAGGCACTGCCAGGAGATCTGTTTGTAGGTTGTGATTCACATTTAAATCAAACTTTGCTTCATTTGCTGTCCTTAATTCTGCATGTTTGTAGGAGAAAAGTTGTCATCAGAAATAGTTCAGCTAAAAGTTGAAAAACAAAGCAAATAGTTAACTTTTTTTTGCTTCAGTTCTGAAAATTCTGCACTGCTGCTTATTTTCAATGTTCTGTTGTTGGATAATACCACAGACGTGCTGGAGAAAGAGCTTCACGTTGTAAAGCAAACTGGATGCTGTGGGGGTTGTTGGGTTGTCCTTGGGTGGTGTTTGTGCTTCTTTTCATAAGAATATCTGTCTGGTTTGCAGGGAAAACCTGTATAATAGTGGGTATTTAACTAGAGGACATGTCTTAGAATTGTGTGAGCACTAATCAGTGCAAACATGTTGTTGTTGTTTGTCAAATTACTTGTACTTTATACTTAATTCTGTATGAAAATTGCTAGAACACATTTCCTCCTAACAGCAGAATTTAGAGGGAAACATGATTCCTCTGAATGGAAGAGATAGATAACACTTGAGTCAGAGGAACTCAGTTCTCACTACCTGTGCTGATGTTACAGTGAGCTGTGGAAGTTCAGGTGACATTGACTTCTGACTTCCTCTATTTTAGCAGGATTTGAATTGAATGAGGTTGGATATCTTTCAGCTTTTTGAGGGCAGCTGAAGGCCCAGGTGCTCTTCCCTTCACCCACATGTTATCCAGCAGCAGTCTGGGAGCATCGTGGTATCAGATAGGTTGGTGTGGAAGCAGAGATGGAAACATCAGGTCACTAGAGGTGTTGAAGGTGGCTGCTGTGGCCCAGAGCAGGTGCTGCTGGGGCTGGAGGCTCTGCTGCCTGGCACCACTGAAGTGCCACTCAGCAAAATCAGCTGCTGCCTCCGTTTGCTGTGAGGACAAGCACAGCATTCTGCCAAGCTTTGCTGCACTGAGGTCACAGCAGTTTTATGAAATAGGTATTCATAAGTATCATGAGTATTGCCCAACTTCAGGTAAGCTGTGACTGAGGGTCCAACAGGATCATTGAGTGGAATTGGTCTAGCTCTTTTTAGGCTGTTTTACACCACACTGTTAGT